GTGTTTACTGAGCACAGAGAAACACTGCTGGCTGAGTGAGGAGGGGCAATGAATGAGATCTGGTCTGATCCCTCTGTCTACTATGATCAGGTTTTCAACTAGGAAACTGCTACCTTTCTAAGATATCTTCTCTTACTTTGGGAGAAACAGACACATCTTCTAAGAGATAGAGGACCCCTCTGGCTGTAAATAAACATAAGAGCACCTTGTTTATCTAGGACACTTAGAGGCCAAATATCCAAAACCTTAAATATGCAGAATATGAGGGTGTGGGGCGTTTAGAAGAAAAGATTATGAGCTACTACACACTGCTGCTGAGAACTCCATCCTCTGTTGCTCTTACACTTTGCCACTTTGGGATCTCTCCCCAATCCTAACTCTGCTGAAGCCAGCTGGAAGTGCTGGCCTTGGGATTGCACTGGCTTGGGCGAAGCTTAGATCCCAGAACCCAAACTTCCCAACAGACAGCAAGGGCTCCTCAAGCAAAATTGATAACCCAATAAAAAAGCAAAACCAAGTCAGAAGGGGAAGGCTCCAGGAGGCAGGCATACTCGTAACAGGATGCGAAAGCAGGGGGAGTGATAGAAAATAGCCCCAAACTGTCCTGTGACGAAGTCCAATGATGCTAACACAGTTGCTAGTTTATGGGGCATCTACATAAAAAGGCAGAGCAATCTTGCAAAATATTTATGATTATGACAGCTTTGCAGATGAGGAACCTGAAGCCTGGGAAGTTTAAAAGGTCAATAAAAATTCAAATCTAAATCTGCCTGTTCCAAATATGGCATTACCTGGATGCTGTCACAAAAGTGAAGCCTGAGTCATCAAGAAAAAGTTGACTACTCTCAATGTAGGTTTTAAAAAGACAGGGAAGTGCAGCACATGATTTAGAATGTTCTTGATCAGAAATCCTTTAAAGAAGAACTTTTGGAACTCTTTAAAGTTCTTTTTTAAAGAACTTTAAAGGTGGATATTTCAGTATCTGGACATTTCACCTAAATAGAATGTCATTCTTCAATGATATGTGGTAAATGAGATATTGCTGTGCTGAACATAGCACATAAAATCATTTAGGCAGACTTCCTTAAGAGGTTTTTAGCCTAAGAAACGTTCTTTCATTTCTTGATAGTGGCTTTTGCATTTTCTGAGACCCAACAAGATACCCATCTAGAAATTGCTAATTCTTTTTTTTTTTTTTTTCTGAGACAAAGTCTCACTCTTTCGCTCAGGCCTGAATGCAGTGGTGCAACCTCGGCTCACTGCAACCTCTGCCTCGCAGGTTCAAGCGATTCTCCTGCCTCAGCCTCCAGAGTAGCTGGGATTACAGGTGTGCACTACAAAGCCTAGCTAATTTTTTTGTATTTTTAGTAGAGATGGGTTGTCACCATGTTGGCCAGGCTGGTCTTGAACTCCTGACCTCAGGTGACCTGCCTGTCTTGGCCTCCCAAAGTGCTGGGATTACAGGTAGAAATTACCAATTCTTAAAAGGGCCCAGCCTCTTAGTTTTGGTTTTATTTGAACCTCTGGGATGGGGTGGGTGCTGGGCCTGTTTCTGAACTCCTCAACTAGCTGTGTATGATATGGAGGTGGGTGTTTTTAAAAATGTATACATTTTAAATTTTAGAAATGGAAAAAACCACTCAACTTTGTATATGGGTTTGTAAAACCATAACATTCAGTCTGCTGGCTGATGACTCAAGCGGAAGGCCTCTGTCTGCCGGAGCAGCCACATCCCAGCGTCCTCCGCTCCTCGGGGAATAAAATGGCTTCTCTCTGTTTGCCCAGACGGCCTGGAGTCTTGCCCTTTTGTCCTTAGGCCACAGGAGTCCGGCAGTGCCACAGCGGCCTCTGGTTTCTGCCCACAGCTTCTACACAGGCCCCCAAACAGCCTGTGGGTGCCCAGGATTTGCATTTCTACAAGTGCCTGGCGGGAGGAGTCAAGGGAAGGTCACTAGAGATGGTGGCCTTGGGTTGCACTGGGTCAGGCAAAGCTGTGGTTTGTGAGTGAAATTTTCCAAGCACACAGCAAGCTTCAATGGAACAAAGTTAATAATAAGCAACGGTTAGGGGAAAAGGTCTGTCTGGGGTTGACTCAGCAACGGTCTCAACCTTTGGGATGTAGATTTCAAGGTATACAGAGAGCCAAGGGCCCAGGGGCCACAGCCCAGGATAAATAAGTTCATATCATGGCCCTGTTCCCAGGCCTTGGGGCAATCTTTGCGGTTACCCCAGCACATAGGAAGAACCCGGGCAAACACGAGGTTGGGCGTGCCGACTACTGCTCTTTCTCCACAGCTAGGCTGGCTGCTGCTTCTCCTGACTTTCTTGCTCAGTTCCCCTTTTTCTGGGGCGTTGCTGCTGTGCTCTGTGATTGGAAGGCCAGCCCAGGCAGTTTTCATTTGGGAAGTATCCACCTTATAGGCCTGCAGAGCCAAATCCAATTTGAAGCATGCACCCAAAATAAAAGGAGAAAGCAGGCTAATTTCCTTGGATAGTGAGTGCTTTCCAAACCCAGGAGCTCCCTTGGAATGAAAATGCAGTTTGGAAGAGAGTGGGAGAGCCGGAACAAGACGGAACTTCCAGGACTTCAATTAGATTGATTGTTCCTTTCACAAGAAAGTAAAACAAGGCAGTGGGGAGGGCAAGCCCACTTATTGCAAATGCAAATGGCCAGAAATACCTTGAAGAACGAGAGGCTGAGAAAACCAGATGTGTCTTTCTAAATACAAACTAACGAGAGAAAGAGAAACGGGGAGTAGAGGAGAAAAGTGGGGAGGAACAGAGAATTAATGACAAAGTGAGGTGGATGAGGCTTAATCCTAACAGAGCCTCTCTGACAGTTTGGCACTGGGGGAAACAGATCCCAGAAAGATTTTTTTCTGACCTCCCGCACTTTTTAGGTTCAAACCAGACACACGAGGTCATGGAATGAGGAGAAAAACAGGAAGTAATTTAGCGAGGATGATAAGCCAGATGATACCCCTGTAAATCGCTGCTTCCCCCACTCCAACTCCAGCAAGGGAAATGCCTTCTTCTTTCCCTTCTCAGAGGCTCTGGAGACCTTCAGTTCTCCCCATCTCTGGGACTGAGTCCTGTATATGGAAGGGGCACCCCGCAGCCCAAAGCAGGCCAGGGGCATGTGTTTCAGGCTTTTCATCCTTCCCAACATGTTTTAAATCATGCTTACTAGCTCCTAAGTTTTTCCCTCCAAAAGCCATGCTTTCTCTCTCTGCCATTATGAATATACATAGGATGACCTCTTGGCAATTTCCCTGGGAGATTTGCTGGCATAAGCATAACAGAATTTGGCCCTCAGTCTAGAGAGGTGCTTAGTCAAATTTCTCTTGAGCTCAGACCTAGGCTCTCTGTACATTATGCTTCCATCTGTGCCAAACTTCTGCAGTCCAGCCAGAGGAATCAGGGCCCCAAACCCCTTATAAAGAAGCTCTTCTAACAGAAATTCTTGATCAAGTTCACTGTCAGGGAATCAGAAGGCTTGGGATGCTAAGCAAATGTATCCAGGGTGCACATATAACTTAGACAAAGAGGAACTGAAGAGTTTCCCTATGTCATCCGTTGAGTCAAGAGTGGATATGAGATTAGAAACTCCATCTTATGACTCTTTGTCACATGAGGCATCTATCCGGGAAACCCTTTGATTTTCAACAAAGACTACCTCTTGTTAGGAGAAAATCATTACGTAGGTGCAAAGTAGTCCTAGGAGGATAATAATGACTTCAATTCACTGAGCCTCACAGTCTAGCACTAGTTAGAGAGGGCCCTTGTTTCCTCCATGAGGAAATCTGGCCCAGACCTGGTCTGTGGGAGCTTTGCCTGCTCCTTGGTACCTGTCCCGCCAGCTTGCCCCTTTATTAATGTTTCAGTATTCGCAATGCCTTAATAGCAAGGAATGCTTAGATAATTTATTAGTCACATGGGAGCACTGAATGCTTATCAGAGTAACAGCACATTTAGGGCCGAATATGACTGTTGGCATATTCTTTTCTGCACAAAAACTCTCACTTTAATTCCAATGAGGAAAGACTTTAAGAGGGAGCTCAGTAGACAGTGCAAAGTACATCTGTATTCCAGACATGATAATGCTGCTGCTTCCCAACCTTAACTTTGAGGGACCTCGGTGTTTACATGGCATTTCTAAAGTACTCACAAGTGTCTAAATGTCCACTTGGGAGTTCCTAAGCCACACATTTCCAGGGTGGCAGAACCAATGCTGTAAGACCAGCTGAGTCATGTTGGGTGACTGACCTAACCTCTCTGTGCTTCCCTTTTCTCTTTTGCAAAATGGAGATCATAACAGCACCAACTTCCCAGCCCACTGTACAAAGTAAATGGATTAATACTTGTAATGCAATGAGAACAGAGTTTGTTAAATAAATCCCTAACACTGACTTTGAGACTCTAACTTGTGTAGCATAGGTATCAAGAACCAGTATGAGTCTTAGAACTACTTTGATTTTTTTAACCCCCTTTTTTTTTCTATAAGGAAACCAGTTACCACTGTATAAAGTAACAGGCTGATCCTGCGTGGCCGGTTGCAGAGAAAGTCTCCACTTGGGGATATGGCTGCTATCTTACTATGGAAACGGGCAGGGTTTACACATGTAACAGCCTTGGAAATGGGTAGATCTCCAAGTGGAAGGTAAACCCCAAAGTCAGGCGGTGGAGTTTTGTAGGCCACCCCCTGCCACCGCATGGAAATTCTCCTTCACTGCCAGCCTTTGGAGGCAGGTTAATATTCTCTACTTTGCCCTTAAGAAGGCGTTTCCTACCATGCTGCGGGATCAACCACACCTTTATTTCCCTGGAAAGGGAATGTCCCCTTGAGGTTTTCCTCTGGGGCCAGGATCCACCACTGGTTAGCAGCAGGTCTTGGGGTGAGGGGTGCTGCCACTGCGTGCTAGAAGTGACAAGAGCCGGGGTGGGGGGTAGAGCACGTGCGTCTCATGGATGGGATACACAGGGGACAGAACGGAGCTTACTTGCAGTCATGCTTCTCGATTTCAAAGTGAGGGTTGAAGTTGAGGACAATCTTCTGGTTGGGGTCGGGGGCGTAAACAATCCACTCGCAGTTCTGATGGGAAGGGTAGTCCTGGGGGTAACCAGGAGAGGTGATGTAGCCAGCAACTTTGGAATTCAAACGGCCTCCGCACGGTGGGTCTGAAAGAGAATCCAACAACCCAAAGAACTTCACATATGCTGCGGCTTTCTTCCCCCCCACTCCCTCCTTCTCTTCTGTACCAGTGTCTGATTAAAACTATTTTACAGACCTTTTATGGCAGTCCAGAAGACTAACCTACTTACTCATTCGGTGGAAGAGATTATTCCAGCTCATCCCTCCCCCTACCCACCCGACTACACACACACACAGATGAAAGTATTCCAGAACATGGCCATAAATATTCTCAATTACATGGTCTGCGATTAAAAAAACAAGAGGACTGCAAACTCAACATGCCTCCCTGCCTTTCCTGCCTCCCGTCCTTGGCCCATCTTCCTCTCCTCGTTCAACCTCCCATCTCTATCTTTATCTCATAAATCCTTCATTTGATTCGGTGTCTCCCAGCCCAGCCCAGCAGCCAGCAGTCAGGGCTCCGGGAATTGACAATGGTGGTTTTGTGGTGCCGACCCACAAGCGAGCCTGGCAACAATTACATGTGGAGCAGAGGAAGCACTTTCAGCTTTGGGCCAGCACAGCCTGGGTAACGAGAGCGAAACTCCGTCTCAAAAAAAAAAAAAAAAAAAAAAAAAAAAAAAAAGCAAAACCCCCAAACATTTAATTCCACATATACCGCAAATTTGATTTATTATTTCATTATACACCGAATGGAAAAACCTGTATTAAAGAATCTACTGGCTCCAGTCTTGGAATTTCGACAAAGGTGCTTTGTGTTGAATGAATGTCTGTTTCTTGTGCGCTGCCCACTGTCTCTCCTGCCTGGTCACCACCACCAGAGTGTGCTGCTGCTTTGTCCGGCCACACTGGTCATTTGCAGGAAGAGGTGGCTCCCTGTACCAGCAGTGCCTGGCTGGAGGCAAACAGCTTCATGTGGCGCAGGAGGGAAGGGAGCCACCTTCAAAGGCTGCAAAGGTGGTTGATGACATTTGAGGAATCTCATCTATTTGGGAGTAAAGTTCTGCAATCCCCAGCAGGGATTCTTGGGAAATAGGGAGTTTTGCTTAAATACCGCAGTAGAACAGAAGCTGGGAAGGCACAAGAGACATGGAAATATTCAGAAGGCTCTTGGAGCCCTTCCTGAGATGTGTGTGTCTCTTAGCATCAATCACGATTTAATATCGCCTTCTGCATGGAGCAGCATGGGCCCGTGAATTATGTATTACGACTCAGCAGCCACCCTCCAGGATGGGTCTTTCTTCTGTGTTCACTCTTTGAGGGAACGGGTCATGCATTTTTTAACTCTACAGGTGCACTTTACTATTCCCCGTGTCTGTTGGCATTACTATCTCCCAGACCTCTGCTTTAGATTACTGGCCTGACAGGCTTTCAATGTATAAAAGATGGGCACGCTTCACATGGGTGGTTGGGACACAAATCCACACAAGTAGCCTTTCCGGTATCAAGCCTCCAGGAGCTCAAACTGTGCCAAGTTGAGCTGCCCAGAATTGAATGGATTCAAGTCCATTTCCTACTGGGTGGAAAACAACAGCAGCCATTTCCTCAGGCTAGTAGACAGCACATCATCTTCTTACCTAATGACCCTATACCCACCCGAACCCATGAGGACAATGGGCCCATCCCTCCCACCCAGACCACAAGAGACCAGCAATGAGGCCCATTTCCTCTGCAGCCAGTACCCACAGGCTTTCCAGGTGCCCGCACCACTCACCCATGCTGGGCACCCACTGTCATCTAGCCAGCCAAATTCTAGCCCGTTGGTCCAGGCTTATGCATATAAAATGAGGCGGAGTGGCCCTCTGAGAAGGCAGAGGTGTGAGGACAGATCACCAGCTGCTCTTACTCAACTAGCAGAAGAGGGAATTTTCTACTGGCTCCAGCTCTCTGCCAGCTATTTTGCAGAAAACTGCAGCCCTGCCACCAACTCACCCCAAACCACACTTTTTTCCCTTGGAATTCATCAGAGGAAACCTGAGCTGAGCTCCTGTTTAGTAACTGTTATGGTTTCCACATACTCCCCACTGTCCCCACCCACACTCTCTCCCTCCTTTCCCCATCCCTTCCTCTACTTCTCTCCAACCACTCTTGAAAGAGGAACTTTTCTCCCTCAATTTCCCCACTTTCCAGGTTTAGGCTTTTAGTAATTAGACCAGGCACACAGATCAACAGTAAAGATGGGAAACTTCTTCACAAAGGTTTCATTTTTCAACTAAAGTAAAAGTGATCATTCTCCACTACAAAAAAAATTTAAACTATATATATCCCATAGCTGATAGTCTGCACTGTCTGCTGTTAAACCAAAAGAAAAAGGAGTAATTCATTTCCTTTTTACTATCCTTTCTTTATCTGAAGAAAATCTAGACACTTATTGAAGTATCAGAGAACTCATTGAAACATCTGCCCCAGTTGTGTTGGTTAACTTTTTCAATTTTCACAAATGTATAAACCCACATTCTTGCTTGGCTTGCATTCACACTCAGAAACACACAAACATAGATATTGAACATACTTCAAGAACATATACATATCATTAATTCACACTTTAGTCCTGTACACACGTTCACACCTTCTCATAAAATATCACACATCATTTGCACAAACATATATCCACAAAGATAAACACTAGAATTTCTGTTTTTATTTTTCTTGGAGAGAATAGAATTCTTGAAACATATCGGTAAAAATTTTAAAGAAAACACAATCATAATTCATCTCCTCTTGATAACTGATCTTTCATTTCTAGGGTTGAGGACACACATTTCTTAAATACAAACATGTCCCAGTAGAAATTAGCTAGAATTTCTTCTGAAGAGCTATACCATCCATTACTTTGTAGGCCTTTACTGTGTTCAGAAATGAACTTTATACATGGTTTCTGTCCTGTTTCGAAGGAGTCAAGCTAAGCCAAAGGAGAGTTGAACTCAAGGGCAAAACCCTTAAGGCCAATCTCCACATACAGAGGGGAAATTGACCCTGTGGAAGTTTGAGCTACTGAGCCTGTTTGGTGAGTTGACAAAGGACTTCATTCTGCAACTATTTCGTGAATACCTTTCACCTGGGGCAAATTCATCACCCAAAGAGAGATAGCAAAACCCAGGTTTGGACCGATCAGAGCAGTTTTCTCCTACGCCTGCCGGATGAGCCAGGCCAGGTCTGAGAAAGGCCCAAGGCTGACAGGAATAAGGTGACAGATCCAGATGTAATTGGAAATAAAGGGAACACTAAGTTCTGAGGTTACCAAGTTCTGATTTTCCTCCTCTAATGACTGCTTGGGTGTTTCTATTTGAAATGTAAAAGATCAGATTGTCTTAAACTCTTTCTGTCTTGTTCTTTTTCTCTTAAGTATTGTTGTTATACTGCCTGGGTAACGTAGCCCTGGAAAGGCAAAGGGATATTGTACACCTTCACTTAGGAACCCACCTTCCTACAAAACCCAATCACTTGCCTTGCGAATGTTTAATTTTTAAGAAGTATTAAGAATGGGCAAAGAAGATCTTGTAAAAATCTGGTCTGCCTTCTAGAAAAATTTAGTTGGTATCGTTTTAAAAGGACACTGTATAACCTGGACGGGACGATAATGTTTGCTAAATACTGAAGCCTGACTGTAGTGAGAACCTTCTAATTAGTCGGATTACTATGGCTAACTTCACCACAGCTTGGTAAAAGACTAATCAGATCCCTCACTTTAGTTGAACTGAAGGAGAGAGCCCTTGGCAAAACCAGGGAAATTTGGCCACTGGCTGGATGTAGGATACAGGGTCCAGTTGTAAAAGGTGAGTCTGGGGTAATGGGACTGGGTTGCCAGGAGAGGGAGGGAAGGACATAGGCAGAAAGATGGGAGATGGCACCCAGCCCTTAACTCACTCACTTTGACCTTTCTGAGCCTCAGCTTCGCAAACTGTAATTCAATGAATGGACTGAATTAGGTGTGTAGCTTTCAGATTTATTTATTTTTTTTGAAGTACTTTTTTTTTTCTTGAAGAAAACTCTACCTAGACTTCTAATGTACAAAGAAAATAAAAGCGAGCTCTTCTTGGATGCTGGGAGGGAAGTGGCCAGAGGCAGTGTAGAGTCTAGGCCTCCCAGACCCTGCCTGCAGCTTGGAGGGGCTTCTCTGCAAGGCCTGCTGGAACATGGTTTGAAACCCTCTAAATGGGGCATCTCCATTCCCTGTTACTTTAAAATGCCATGGGAAAGAGAAAGAGCAGAGGATTAGGAGACATCTATTTCCTATGTATACCTGAGGACACTTAGTGGAGAAAAGCAATCAGTCTCATTTCCCCTGAAAATAATACACTACATTTACTTTACAATTTATTCTTCATCCACAGCATAATCTCATCTTGTCCCTATTTCCACAGCATTGTTTTCATTTAATTATTGGTAGCAAGGCAAAGAAGAAACTCTTTCTTCTATTTTAAAAGAAAGGAAGTTGTCACCTTGTCACTTAACTTACTCCACCAGGGCAGTTCATTGGAAATAGCACTGGAGCAGGATGTAAAAGCCTAGTAATCAAGTCTGGTCTCACCACTGGCAAGCTGTGTGACCTTGGGTAAGTTAGTAGACAACTCTGAGCCTTTGCTTTCTCATCTAGAGAATGAGAAACATGATTTTAAAGGTCAGTTCCAGTGCTAAAATCCAAAGCCCATATAATGAGGTGGGGAAAAAATCCTATAACCCATAGATTGAGCCAAAAATTCAAAAGATTCTCTACTCTCCTAAACAATAAGACATTTATTCAAGGTGCTACCTCTGTTCTGTCTGCTTGGTAAGCCTGAAACAAAACTGCAGGATTCTTCAGATGAACATGTCTGTCTTGCATTACGGAGAGTTCAAATGTCTCCTTTAATCACATTAGGTCTACTAACATGAGTTTCTTTTTGTAACTGAGCCTGTGGCTGCGTATTTATAAATATTATGGATACACAGTTCTGTGTGTGAGCATGTCAACAACTGTGGTGCATGAGAAGGAAAACCAAAAGGAGTTTCTTCAAATCCCTCACCCAGATCATCTAAGGCCTTG